AAAACGAGCTTTGATTGTGATAATATTGATATGTGAACATAGTTTTAGTTGAAAACAACAATCGCCTGGTGTGAACGGCCTTTCAAATAATCGCTTCCAATGATGCTTCCAATGAAGTTGGGGTGCAGCCAACTTTTGATTCAACTAATCGCCTGGAGAATCGCCTCATGCGCAGCGTTGCCGAATTTACGATTTCATCGTCATTTTGACATTTTTTTGAGCTCAATGACGTTTTGAGGTTTGACTGACTGACTGACTGTATGTATGTTAACAATTTTTTAAACGAAAACTTAACCCAAAAAACAACCATGCATTTAGTAAGTTTTGTTCTACAACCGTGCTTTTAGTTATATTACATTTTTTCAAGAATTGTAACCAAATCGTTAATTTGCACTGTTGATACTGATTTGAAAGAGATAGAAAAATAGCAAAGGGAATTTGTTCAGATAAGATTATCTATCAGTTAATAAATGCCAATGTTACACTTTAAAACTGGATCAAAATTTTCAAAAACTTCAAGCCAGTGGAGTTGAACAATTTAAAAGCATTTAAGTTTTAAAGTGTAAGTTAAAATTGTCGTTAACAAAAAAAGTATAATAAACAAAAATTTTACTTCTTTTGTCCAAAATGACGATTTTTTCAGTGTAAAATGACGATAAGGCAAAGAACATAGTTATTACTTAACTTTTTGCAATAGTTGATACATCAAAAGATGGAGAATTAAAATATTTTTCAGAATTATAGAATAAAAACTAATTTAAATTGCGTAATATGCCTTTTTTCAAGCTCACACTCAACTGTGTGCGTACGCAAAGCATTCGCATGTGAACGACAAGTTTTTACAGATGTGTTTGAGCGTCCATAAGAATACAAATGGAATTCTTTGGGAGTTTTCATCGGTTAAATTTTAATGAACCCCTATTTTTCTTAATTTTAACTTCGATCAACGCTAATTTCAAAAATGTCTATGAAAGTTGGCAAATATGTGGCATTTATCTAAAAGAACATTTATTTTCGAATAAATTGATACCTCATCCAATGCAATTGCACAAAAATTGTCGAAGTTAAGCAATTTAAGCAAAAATACCGCCTTGAATTTATATGTTTGTATGTACCGAACATGCAGATTTTTCGATACATACAATTGAGCTTGGCCTCCTTAAGCACCGTATGGAATTTTTTGAAATCGGNGTGAAGAAATTAACAATAATTTTAAATATTTATATGAGAGTTGAAGTCGGTTTTGTTTTTAACCGACTTCCAAAAATATCAGTTCGCCGGAATATTTTTTTTATGTATGTTATCGCATAACGATAACTCTGCATCGGAAAGGTAGTGTCTCAGAGGTGGTCCCATACTAATCTGGTTTATATATATATTTTTTTTTTATATGAGAATTGAAGTCAGTTTTTTTTTGCTAAAAATTACTTGTTTGCTTAAAAATTACTATTTCTTTTATGTATGTTGCCGCCTAGCTTTGGACCACGTTAACTGATTTGAATAAATTTTTTTTTAAATGAAAGGTATTACCTCACAGGTGGTCCCATTCTAATTTGGTTTAAATCCGATCATTGGATCATGAAAAGATTAACGATAATCTTAAACTTTTATATGAGAATTGAAGTCAGTTTTGTTTTTTGCTTAAAAATTACTTGTTTTAATTTAAATTTATTGAGTTCTTTTCCATGATTTCTAATTCTTTCGCTAATTTTACGCGTGGAGATCGGCCTGTATTCGCTTTGAACATTGCAAATAATTCATCATCCGTCATAGTTATACCGTGTTTATGAAGCATATGTGTTACAAAACTGAAAGAAATAAAAAAAATTTTATTTAGCAATGTTTACTAAATTTTCAAAGGACTTACTAATTACGTTTTGCGCTGCCGTAATCGCATATAAGGCACATATATGGCATTATACCTTTATGTCGGAACGAATGGATTCGTAAAGACTCGCTGTTTATGAACTCTTTGCCACATACCTTACATGTCTGCTTGACGTTATCATGACGTTGTAAATGATAGGAGAGATGAACTCTAATTCTAAATCGGCGGTCACACAAATGACAGCTGAATGGCCTTTCGCCCGTATGAACTCGCATATGTACTTTGAGTTCTGTTTTATCAATAAAGTTCTTATCACATACATTACATGGGAAGTTGCATTCCTTCGCATGCAATCGCTTGTGTCGGTTAATAGTATCACGGCATTTATACGAGCCACCACAAGTATCACAAGTGTATTTACGCTTTCCCACATGTACGATGTCCATATGTGTACTTAAATACTTTGTGCTGAATTTTTTCTTGCATACTGGACATTCCTTAAGTTTAATTGCTTTATTCAAATGCTGTTTTCCCTCATGTATTTCCAAAGCGTGTGTAGACGTTAAAATANGCTGAATTTTTTCTTGCATACTGGACATTCCTTAAGTTTAATTGCTTTATTCAAATGCTGTTTTCCCTCATGTATTTCCAAAGCGTGTGTAGACGTTAAAATACGGGCTGAGAAATAAATAGAATCAAATAAAATAAACATAATATGTGATATTATCACCGCCCGCATGATAAAAATATACATATATATTTTTTTGTAATATTTGTATCATGCCTTTAAATATCTGTATCATGACCGCCCGTATTCCAGAAACATGAATGTGTAAAAATGAAAATTTTGAAAAATCAAGCTTGGAAGTTTTTTTACGTGACTTAACTACATTTATGCAAGTGAAATTAGAAGATTTGTTTTCCGTGTACGCATGATATTCTGAGTTTTGGTATACCATAGAACATCCAAAGGTTAATTAAGTCAACCCAATAACTCAAAAGTGATAAATTTGCACATTCATGCCTCTGGCATAAGGGTGACGGTATGTATTTGTTTGCTTGTATTTAAAATGTTTCCACCTACGGCAATATGAACATAAGTACATCTTTTTTTCTTTCGATTTAGGATTTTCTCTAATTTCGTCGAGGTTAGGCATAGCCGGTTCCTGACCACCGCGGTCAGTTTTCTTTTGGCTTAATCCATCTTGATTAATTTCCTTTCTATGTGTTGTAGATTTAGATTTAACGTAACCTACTAAATATTCCATCGGTTGAATATCTTTACTTAGATTTTTGCCACCGTGTTTAACAGTGTTATGTTGTTGTTTGATATGTCTTTTATATGCGCTACGATTTCCATAGCTTCTGTGGCAAATTTTGCATTCAATCCGTTTATCTTTCTCATATCCAACTTCTTCGATAACAATTGGTGTAGATGGAAGGCAATTTACTGAACGGTTGTGTATTCGCATGGCATGACCAGAGTAAGTTCGCGCTGTTGTATAATACTTCGGGCAAAACTGGCATTTAAAGAGTACGTGTGTTCTCACATGGTCTTCCAATTCCACTGCGCATGTGACGACTTTTGTACAATATTTACATTTGTACCCTTTAAACATACGTGGAAAATACTTAAGACACTGAGGTTTGTGTCTCTTTTCAAAATGCTGAAGAAGGTGACTTCGAGGTATTAACGTAGTTTCTTTGCAGTAATCGCAATGCACTGGTGAATCGGTCTCATGAATGAGTTTTTTATGCTTCCTCAACTCATTGGGCAAATCGAAGGCCTTTGAACAATTCACGCATAATATTTCCGCTAAGTATAAAACAAAAATTAATTTAATTATTAAAAGAGCACTTCATTTTAAAAACTCACAATTGTGCTCTTCAGATGTATGCTTTATTAGCTCGGCTTTCGTTGCGCAATTGCAATTACATATTTCGCAGTCGTATAC